ATATACGTATATATATATTTACATAATATACATACTTATATATCTACATATATACACATATATATACACACATATATATATACATATATATATGCATACACATATATATATATACATATATACATACTTATATATATACATATATACACATACTTACATATATACTTATATAGGCCTATATATATACATACATATATGCATTATAATATATATACATACTTATATATTATATATATACATACTTATATATATATATTCATATACATACTTATATATACGTATATATATTTATATATACATACTTATATATATACATATATACACATACTTACATATATACTTATATAGGCCTATATATATACTTATATATACACTTATATTCTTATATACTTATATATAATGTACACTTATATATAAGTATATATACACACATAAACATATATATATATATGTATAAATATATATATATGTATATATATGAATATGTATATGTGTATATATATATACATAAAATTCATATCTGATCGATTTAGTCGATGAAGTTCCACGTATGTCTCGATTGTATAAAATAACACTGCAGTTGTTAACATAAACGCCGGACACTTTGACATAATTTGAGACATGTACATTTATTTAACGAAATTTTCGGCAGCACCTGCTGCCTTCGTCAGCGTAAGAGTGTATGTTAACAACTGCAGTGTTATTTTATATATACATATATATATATATATATATATATATATATAAATCATCAAAGAAAGGTAAATACAGTATTCGAATAAAGGACATAATAATCCATCGTGTAGCATAGCTCTCAACGAATGTAGTAATGGTTGGAGTCTTATACATGGCCGGCGGAAGGGGGCCGGGGGGGCCCGGGCCCCCCCACTTTTTGGCGAAAAATATATAATGTCTGGAGATTTTTGTAATGCAAAAAAAGAAGAAGGGAAGAAAGAGGAGAAGGATGGGAAAGAGAATGTTTATCCAGTACCCAACCGAGTTACATTTTCTCGCAATTCACATTTGCGGATCTGGGGGAGGGGTCATGGGTCCTGACCCCCTTCCTTGGGCAACAACAAAAGGGGAAAAAAAGAAATCTAAAACTATCTTTTCAGGACCAGTGAGCTGATTTTTTTTTTTTTTTTTTTTTTTTTTTTTTTTT